ATATATATATATATATATATATATATATATATATATATATATATATATATATATATATATATATATATATATATATATATATATATATATATATATATATATATATATATATATATATATATATAGCCACATCGGAAAAGAGCACCATAGCAACAGGTTACACAAGTTTAATGATTAAGATTTTCTTTTAACCCTGCAAAAAAAATTGAATCCTCATATAAGCAAAAAATACAAAATAGATAAAAGGTTCATCTTGCTGAATAAATTTAAATTAAAAAATTTCTACGCTCAAAAATATTTTAAAAAAGGTTTAAAAATTGTAAACAAAAAAACTAAAGTTGCTTTAGTTGAAAGTAGATATTATTCACATTCAGAGATCTTGTATTTTATTTTTAAAATTTCTTCGTACAGCTGCAAGCTATTTTCAAAATAATTTCATGAAAAAACTAGTTAAAAACCTATTTAATTATTTAAAACTAAACAAATTACTCGTTGTCAATGATTAGTTTCTAAAATCCTGTTACCGTAGCCATTTTAAAAAACCTTTAAAAAATGTAATTTCACTGCGCATGCGTATAATAACTTTCCTCTTACAAACGACCGTGGGCCCAATATAGTACGATATTTGCAAAAAACAGGTTTGTAAAATTGAAAAAAATACGCCGAAAAAAAACATTGGCTAAATGTTGGCCCAACGGAATAAACCTGCCAATGTTAAAACTTACATTGGGCCAATGTAAGCTTGCTGTCTGGGATCTAACCTCTCTTCTCTTATCTCTCAATTTATTTCTACTTGTTCATTAAGTTTTTCATGCTCATTTTTTCTTAGTTCCTATTTAGCTTTTTTGCATTCGATCCATTCATTAAATACTTTTTCCTCTCATAATTTCTAAAGTAGTAGCGGTTGTAGGCAAAAATTTTGCGAGAGGCCATCTCTTTAAATTTTAGTCGTGTTTTTATTTTCTTCAAAACCCCGTTTTCTTTTTTTTTTTACTTCTTTTTATTCTTCTACGTATTTTTTCCATTCAAACGCTTTGTAGATTCTAAGTTTTTGTAACTCATATTTTGTGTCATTCATTCGATCAAAGCTTTTAAATTCTATCCAGTTTCTGTTAACTATTTCAACGAGGTTCATTTTATGGTATACTCTAGGTAGATTTATAATTATCTTATCATCTAGTTAATTTTTATCTTCTATGGGCACATTATTTTTTCTTCTATGGCCACATCTTTTTATCTTTTATTTTATCTTCTATGGGCACATTTTTTTATCCACTTTGGGCACATTATTTTAACTTCTATGGGCACATTAGTAAAAAGGTTTTTGTTTATATTTTTATCATTATTTTCTTCATTTGTTTCTAATTTCTTTGCAGATTCCATTTCTTGTAGCACTATTGTCAAATGGCTTTGCTTCACTTAAATTATTGTTAAAATGTTGTTTGTTTGCGGTATTGTGTGGGTTTTATGTAAACTACTAGTTTGTTGTGTTGTTTAGCTGAATTCTTCCAATGGTAGTTTTGTTATGTTGTTTTTTTTTCCTTTATGGGTACATTTGCTACTTCCGCCTGTCCAGTATGAATAATTTTTATATTGTACCCTTTTGGTTTAATACACCAAGGTATTGTTTTTTCTAAATTTTCTAGTATTGCCACAATTATCCCAGAGTAGTAGGTTTAGTTTGTAGTGTTTTTCGGAAAATTGTCTAAGTCCTCTAAAGCTTTGTCCGCAGGAAATCTCTTTTTTCAATTGAAAGGCCGAGCATCGAAAAAGTTGTTCTTTTGCTAATATTTCTTGTGGGGTAGATTAGTAGAAAGAGTGATGTATACCGTTAATAGTAAATTTTTTTTCATAAAGAAATAATTTAACTTTTTCGATTTTTATAACAACTTCAACCATGATACCATTTTTAATTACTTGCAATCCTACTAAGTATTTATCGAGACTGGCATCTTCAATTAATATCAAGACTCAAAATTGACCTTGGTCTTTCCAATAAATTTAGAAGAGTTTTTTCAAGAATACTACAGTATGGGACAAAAAATAGTGAATTTTTTTTTATTTTTTTATTTTTTTTTCGCGCTTTTTTTTTTTATAAAATGGCGCTTTTTATTCGATTAATGAATTCAAATCGAAGATTTAGAATTTGTTAATAGCAAATTCAAATTCCTTTTGAAAAATTCTATAATTTATATATGTACAAGTTTGTATGAATCATCACCACTTCATAAGAATATTTTATATTTTAAATTTTCGTTTGTACTAATAAAAGCCAAAATCTTAAGAAACGTACATAATCTGTGTACATTTATATATAAATGGACATATATTAAGGTTTCATGTTCCCCCAACTAACTAATAAAATAAATATTTTTAGAGATGGAAGCTGGTCAAATTCCGATTGCTGCCAAAGCTGTACCAATTGCACCTGAAGTTTTTGTTGTAAAGGAGAAAAGAAGGCGTGTTGTAATTTCTGCTGAGAGAAAAGCATTTTTATGTGGCCTCAAATCAGGTGGAATGTTGTTCACTGAACTTGAAAAAGCTCAGCATGTGCCAATTTCTTCTCTTTATACCATATAGAAAAATTTTGCAGCTACAAATAGTATAGAAAAATAAAGACTCTGGTCGAAAGCGAAAGACAGATGCACGAGACGATCAACGTATTATCAATGAAGTCTAAAAAGATTAGTTTATAACTGGATCAGAAATCAGAGCATTATTAAACTTAACTACTCTTGTGTCAATTAAAATTGTTCGTCAACATATTAATGAGTTTGAGAGTTCAAGTCATATTTTTCATGCAAGAAGCCATTTATCAGTAAAACGAACAAGAGTAAAATGATAAAATGGGCGAAAGATCGTCTTCATTGGACTGTTGATAAATGGTGTCATGTAATTTTTTCTGATGAGTCACCATATGTTTTACGATTTGTGGGAAAAAGACATGTATGGCACAATTATCGTTATTAAAAGGAGTGTACTATTGGAACTGTCAAGCACGATGCCAAATTAATGGTTTGGGGTTGCTTTGCTTCTCACAGTGTAGGTAGTTTATACCGAGTACAAGGTATTAATGAGCAGAAGCAGTATCACAAGATTCTTCAGTATCAATTCAGGCCAAGTGCAAAAAAACTTTCCCCAGGATGATTTTATATTTCAGCAGGATAATGATCCTAAACATACTGCAGTAAATGATAAACCATATGTCGTCAACCAGAAATGAGAAACATTCAATTGGCCATCACAGAGTCCTGATCTAAATCTTATTGAGAATATTTGGAGTATTCTCGACGAACATTAAAAGTTTCGTAGTTGTAACACCCTGATGATTTGATTTGATGGTTAATTTAAAAGAAGGTTGGAAGACTCGCGAACCAGAACTTTTAACACGTTTAGTTGTTAAAATGTTTACCGTACGAAACGATGAGTTATAAGGACAGACAACTAAATGAGTTATAAGGACAGACAACTAAACAGCGCTAGATTACTTTTAAATATAAAAATCAAGTATAAAAAACTGTTTTTATATTTTAAAATAGTTGTTTTAAGTTTCATTAAATAAGATTTTTACTTTTTTATCTTATTAAACGCGCGAATAGACTACAATCATATAGTCTATTTGCATGCCAAAAGCGTACGAGTACACACTCCGATTAAATAAATAAAGAATTTCAATTATTTATTTAGAATTTAAAATGTTTTATACTATAGACTTTGTAAATTTAAACAATTTTCAACTTTAAACTTTTATCACTTCCTTTTAAGCATAAAAAAATATATATTTATATAATAAATTAGAAAAAAAAAAAGTGGTCAAAAATTATGTATTCATTATTTTAAATCTATGGTAAGTTGGCCCAGGCTTCTCAACCTAACAACAATTATTAAAAAAGTTATTAAAATTGTTATCAAAAACTATATACGAACTTTTGATAATTTTATCTTTGCGTAGTTTAGGGTCTTCTAGGATAGGGTCTTTATTTGTATATTATTCAAATTTGTTTTAACATCTTTATAGTATATTGTTTAGGTCTAATAGTCTAGGCTCTACTCCATAAAAAAAAAAAAAAATCTAAAGCTTGAAATCCTAAATTTAAAATATCAAAGATAAAAATGTGGACTAACGTGCCCAGGTCTACACTAGTGTGTTGTATTTTTTTTCTCTAATCTAAATTAGCGTCACTTTTTTTTTTTGAATTCACACAAAAGGGGCTCTATTATATTTAATTGTAAAAAGCTTTTTTTATTAAAAACTGAAACAGTTAGTGTTTTACGGTGGTCAAGTCCTTAATAGCGTCTGTAATGCGATACTATTTGAGTCTTTTAGGTTAAAGAGTTTGTAAACAATTGGTATATTGGAAACTTTTCTAAACCCTATTTGTATCTACCTGCCCCCGCCATATCTAGATGCTCTCCCGTTTCTTGACTATTTATATGTATACAGTTGTACTTTTGGTAAAACAATATCCTCTAAAGTTGTGTTAAACCACGGTGTTTACAATGGTTTTAATTCCTAAATTTATTAATAGGCTTTGAAGCTCAATGTCTAGTTTGAGCTTTAAAGCATATCAATGAATCTTCAAAGTTTGTCTATTACAAACAGTTCGTTTGCGAATCAATAATAAAACAACTTTATGTTACGGCGTAAGAAAACATTTTTTTGATTTTTTGTAACGAAAGTGATTTGATTGGTTGACTTTTAAAAACTTTTACTTAAAGGCATATTAAAACATAACATAATAAAACATAACCAATATTTTTGAGTTTTGATGTAGTATAGTCTTTTTAAGATAAAAAAAACAAAAACTATTTTTGTTTAGAGACCATTTATAGTTACGTGTTACGAATTATAGTTACGTGTTACGAATTAAACTAATTTTTAATTATTGGCTTATCTGTATCTGACTTGTGCTAAAACAGACCTGTAATTAAACTTACATAATACCGCTAACTTTATTTTTATAAACCTATTTATATTATATCTAGCTTGAAATATTATAACTAACAAAAACTTTATTCATAGACGTTTTTTCTATAATAAATTCGACGAGGAAAAAAAGTTCTAACAATAAAAGTTATTTAAATTTGAAATAAGTTGCGCAAAAAAGTGTTGAGTAAAAAACGGAACGCGTAAGTAAAGTATTTTTTAACTTTGCTTTTGATTGATAAATAAAATAGGAAGATTGAAAATCAGCAAAGATTTAGAAACTCTAAGCTAAAGAAAAAAATAATTTTTCCCCGATAAAATGAACTTTATTTGGTTCTGTTTGATTCAACTTTGTTCAATACAATCAAGTAAAGCTGCACCTTTTCTACAAGGTAACAATTCTTTTTAATTCATTTTTTTTTTTCATTTTCGTTTTAAATATATTTTTTTCTGTTTATATAAAAAATATAAGTTACAAAGAAATGCTTACCATACAAAACGATGAGTTATAAGGAAAGTCAACTAAATGAGTTATAAGGACAGACAACTAAACAGCGCTAGATTACTTTTAAATATAAAAATCAAGTATAAAAAACTGTTTTTATATTTTAAAATAGTTGTTTTAAGTTTCATTAAATAAGATTTTTACTTTTTTATCTTATTAAACGCGCGAATAGACTACAATCATATAGTCTATTTGCATGCGAAAAGCGTGCGAATACACACTCCGATTAAATAAATAAAGAATTTCATTTATTTATTTAGAATTTAAAATGTTTTATACTATAGACTTTGTAAATTTAAACAATTTTCAACTTTAAACTTTTATCACTTCCTTTTAACCATAAAAAAAATATATACTTATATAATAAATTAGAAAAAAAAAAAGTGGTCAAAAATTATGTATTCATTATTTTTAATCTATGGTAAGTTGGCCCAGGCGTCTTAACCTAACAATAATTATTATAAAAGATGTTAAAATTATTATCAAAAACTATATACGAACTTTTGATAATTTTATCTTTGCGTAGTTTAGGGTCTTCTAGTATAGAGTCTTTATTGTATATTGCTTAAATTTATTTTAATATCTTTATAGTATATTGTATAGGTCTAATATAGTCTAAATAATAGTCTAGGCTCTACTCCATAAAAAAAAAGAAATGAAAGCTTGAAATTCCTAAAAGTAAAACATCAAAGGTAAAAGTGTGGACTAACGTGCCCAGGTCTACACTAATATTTAAAACAAGTTAAGAAATAATATATCTAGTACATTCAAACATTTCATAACAGGAAAAAATATTTTAATCTATTTAAATAACTAATGGTTTTGTATGCTTGGTTTTAACTTTTATTAATTTAAATTTGTGTGAGCTGGCCTGCATAATGCGTACAAAAGATGACTTTGACGAAGACTTAAGTAAAGTGCTTTTTGCAGTTTATAATTAAGAAAGATTCTTTTGTACTTAGCAACTATTTTATGCTACACAACTATTAGATAGAATATTATTGTTTTAATGAGGCTAATATGGTTTAAAATAAATTGGTTTTGACAAGTTGTCAAAAGTAATTTATTTTCAAATTTTTTTAAAGCTTTAAATATCTTAACAATGAGGTCTTACATATTACAATTAATTTACTTACGTATTATAATTTCTTTACTTACGTATTATTTTTACAAGGTAGTAATAATTTATTATATAACATCTTAACTGCAAATTGTTCATAATTGTTTTTTTCATTGAAAAATTTTAAATGTTGTAATTATTTCTATTTTTGGAAATTATAAAAAAAAATTATGTAACGTTTACGTCAAAGATATTTGCAACTTTTAGGATGACTTCCTCCCTTTTAGGATGACTTCCTCCCTTTTAGGATGACTTCCTCCCTTTAAAGTTAGTGCGCTGTAAAGTCTTAATTTTTATTAGATTGGCTAAAAAATAATGAACTTTATATCAATAAGTTTATTTAGTATTTATTTTTAGTTCCATTTGGGCTATTTAAGTATCAGGGTATTCCATTACAAATTTTAAACATTATATGAACCATCATTGTCTAAGACCTTTAGGCAACGTTTAGAAAAGGATAAACTTTTTTGAGAGTTCTTGTTGATTTGATTAAAATAAGTTGCTGCCTTAATTTTTGTCTTCGGCGGACGCAGTCCTTAATACAAAAGTTCATGCATGTCTCATTAAACCAAACGCAACACTTTTTATTGGGTGCAAGTTGACTTTTATTGAAAATAATTTTTGCAAACCAAGCCTTAGGTACTCACTGGTGTGGTTTACGTAGTAACCTACTTCTAATCTCCAATGACATCACTGGAGATGGTTTAGCGGGCGCAGACGTTTGTAAAATATTTATACAACGTTTTGAAAACGTCACAAGTTTGTACGACTTCCTTTGAGGTGAATTTCCACTCATCCGTTTTTCTACGGTAACGGGATAGGAAAGAGTAAAATAACCACGTGAGCACGCGTAGTTTTACTTTACAAATTGAAACTTATAAACATGCCTACGTTATTATTTTTCCTTTCCCTTTTCCGTTACCGTGAAAAAACAGATGAGTGGAAACTCCCCATAAGACGTTCAACGAACTTTCGGTGTCCGATGGAGCAAGAGGGGTGCTCTACGTAAAGTAGGAGACATAGTTAAGCCAATTAATTGGATGACGTGGTCAAGCTCAAACAGCACCAAACCTTGACCAATCCATTTGCACATATTCCGTGTAGTCTTATCTACTGAATTGTCCGATTGAAACTTATAAACCAGACTGTATCACTTTTTCTTACAAGATAGAATATAAATCGCCCTAATTTATAAAAGGGGCGGAGAAAAGATGAGGACATAAACTGTCAAATTTGGAAATAAAAAACTCACTATTTTTGTTTATTATTTGCAAATGTTAAAAGAAAATGTTAAATAAAAAGTACAGATAACCATTATTATTAATATAAAATATTTATCATTAATAAAATAGCAAAAAAAAATTGAAAACATTGAAAATACTTAATAAAATAAAATCTTTAAAATACCATTGCTCCTCTGTTAACATTGTTACTATATAGTAGGAGAGAGTGGGGGGAGGTGAGACAAAATTTTTTGTTTGTGTGCTGCGCGTTATTTTTTTACAAAAACTATGCAAATTTGGTTAAAATTATAGTCCACTGAATTGTTTAGGGAAAATATTGCAAAACCCATTATTTAAGCATTGAATTAATTATATATATATATATATATATATATATATATATATATATATATATATATATATATATATATATATATATATATATATATATATATATATATATATATATATATATATATATATATATATATATTTGACTTTAAATTGACAAAAATGCTTGATGAGTAAAAATTTGAACAATTTTATCTTTTTTTTTAAGTACGATTTTCTGTCTCTCCTGTAAAGTTATCTATAATAGACTTAGCAATTTTCACACTTTAAACCGACAATATATAGTGTGTTATATATATAAATGTATGTATGTATGTATATATATATATATATATATATATATATATATATATATATATATATATATATATATATATATATATATATATATATATATATACATACATACATATATGTATATGTATATATTATTATTTTATAAACATCAATAAATACGATTTTCTCTCAATACTAAATTTATTTTTTATTTTTTATTTTTTAAAGAAATTTTTACTGGATTGTTGTGACCAGCGTTTTCAGCTTAAAAGATTTTGTTTGTTTTTGTTTATATGTTATTTTTAAACGGCAATTCTATTACACGTCAATGGAATGGTTTCGTCTTTTTCTGACGTAAGTGCGTTAGAAATGGTGTCCAGAATTTCGTTGACACATATTGTCCCTCATCTATTTTGATACTATTTTGTTGAGGGGCACATTGGTGGTACTGTATTTCAAGCTCCTCACGAACTTTCCTATCAAACTTTTTGTTATTGACTTTTAGAGTTCTGCAACTGTCCCAGTTAATTTGTTGTGCACAATGTTTCATGTGTGAGGCTAATGGTGATTGTTCTGTTTTATTTCCTATTGTACTGTTTTTGTGTTGTTGCATGCGTGTTTTTATTTGCATTTTTGTTTCACCTATATACTTTTTGTTACAATAGCACTTAATAAGGTAAACTCCTGGGTGGCTGTTCCTTTTTAGTTTGGATTTATTTCTTGATGTCAATATTGCTTCTAGGTTCAAGTTTGATTTGAAGATCGTTTTATATCCTGCCTTCCTGAACACCTTACGCAATTTGGGAGACAATATTGGTACCCAAGGTAATGAAACTGTTTGATACGTACTGGTGATGTTGTCAATGTTTTTAATATTCACTAGAGGTTTTTTGTACTTTCGTTTTATTTCTTTTATGATTTTTATGAGATTGGAATGTTTCTAACCATTTTCGATAAATACTTTAATAAGGAATTTCACTTCATTTTCTAAATGTTTTTGACTGCACGCATGTATGTATGTATGTACGCATGTATGTATGTATGTATGTATGTATGTATGTATGTATATATAAATATATATATATATATATATATATATATATATATATATATATATATATATATATATATATATATATATATATATATATATATATATATATATATATATATATATATATATATATGTATATATATATAAGCTATGTTAGTGTATTCTATAAATAAAGTATTTAAACAAATTTAAATAAAGTTTTTGTCATTTCTTTACTTAGAAATGTTGTAATGAAATTTTTGACAAACGCTCCGTTAAGCTTAACGGAGAGATGAGAATACGGCTCCGGAGCAATAATAAGTTAGTAAAACCACTTATCTAATTTTCTTCAACAAAAAGACGTCTAAAACGTGTAAAAGACGTTTAATAGACGTCTTTTTTCCACTGGTAGGCTCATCAGGAAGAATATTTAAACATCGAACATAATTGTAAAATATTTTGTATATATTTTTTGTTGTTACTTTTTTGTTGTTGTTATATCTGATGATCGCTATTTCGTGAAACTTTTAGTTATGTATTGAAATATATCTTAATAATTGTTTAGTTTTTACTTAAGTATTTGCTTTACTAAATATATAACACGCTGTGTTGAGCACTCTTACTGGAAATATTAACACAATTCCTACAATATTATCGCTCCTTTGTGATGACCACTCTCTAATATCTTCAGTTATATTAAATAATTACAGTCATGGAAAATTATTATTTCAACTATTCATTAAAAAACGTTCCATTGCCATCTAAAAAACAATACTTAAAATGCCTAACGGAGAAAGTCGAGTCACTTATAAAGCGAATGAGATGAAAAGCTTTGATGTACGAAAAGTCACAAAAATCTTCACCGCAACATCCTGATTTAGTAT